GTTTTGTTCTACAGTAAATATATCATGTTTCTTAGTTCTAAATAAATTTTGTTTAACATATTTTGATTCTTTTGTTAGTAAACATTTTTCAAAATCATTAAAACATATTTTATTTTCTACAACATTTTTTTTAACACCTTTAGCTTTTTTAATTTCTTTTTCGGTATCTAAGATTCGATGAGAATTTAGATCTTAAACCTATAAATTCAGACATTATTTTTCCATTTAACTCATCTTTAAACTTGCCTAAAACTTTTTTGTTAACTAAAGATAAACCATAAATATTATCTTTTGGATAATCTGAAGTGTCAAAATGATCTAACATAATTTTCATATCTTGATAAAAATCTTTAGTTTTTATTTCTAATATTAGTGAATCTGTATCTGTATATAACAATCTAACTCTATTTCCATATTTTTTCTTTATAATATTATAATAAAAATCATACATTAACATTTTAGATAAATCTAAAATACACATTCCTATATATATTGGTTGTTTGAAAGATATTTGTGTTCTTTTCATATGTACGGCAGCTAAATTTTCTGTAAAAATTGTCCTTCGATCAAAATTTGGTTTTGTAATTAATTTTTCTAGTTGGGCTGCATTAGAACATAATTTTATATCAACATGATTTCGAACATTCATCATAGTACGTTCATAAACACTATTATTCATTAATTTGAAAAATTCTTTTTCAAACTCATTCTTAGCTTCTGATCTAAGATTAGTATTAAAATCAATATAAACTTTTAACCAAGGTGATTGACTAAATTCTAATACTCTATGAATTTTCTCTATCTTTAAACCTAAATTAATATATAATTTTAGTGTTTCATAATGTATTATATATTTTTTCTTATATCATACAAAGTTGTTAATAATTTTGGAAGTTGTTTGTTATCAAAATGTCTTTCTGGTGCTAAAGGGAAATCTGAATGTAGATCATGAAGTTCTTTAGGGTAAGATAAATCAACTTCTAAAATATAACCTTTACGTGATTTATCAGAAATATTCATTAAATCAAAATCATTCAGATTATCAACCCATTTGAAATCTCCAGTAGGTAAATATTTACTCATTGCCCAACCATAAAGATTATTTGCATCTAAGTATTGTAAAAATATTGATTCATCCTTTTTATTAAATTTATCTCTCATGTATTTATTATTTGCTTTTGAATATCTTTGACTGCATTGAGATAAGCCACCTCTGATTCCAGATTCAAACATCAATATTTGATCTATATCTGTTAATAAATCTAATTTTATATTTGTCATTCTTAACATGCAATCCCACGCAAATCCTGGTGTTGTGTAATACCACATAGGATCTAATTTGTAATTTTTTAAAGAAATATCTCTAAAATTTTCTATTATATCTGTTAATAATAAAACATCGATCTTATTATATAAACTAGTGAATTCACGCATATTTTGTATATTAAACACTTTCCAAATTTTCTGTGAGCTTTCATATTCCTCTTTAGTTATATTTTTATCTGTGAGAGAACTATACAATTTTTCAATAGGAGGTAAACATGTTTCATTAAATTTTTCTTCACAATCCATATACTCATAGGGATATGCTAACTTTCTAGTAACTAAATCTAAATGTTCTTCAGGAAAATATTTACTAAGTTCTTTAAATTTATTTTTTTAAATTTAATTTTGAATCATTTCTTAAATTATTTGTTAACTTTTCTAAAGAACTAGGTAAAAATTTGAATGAATCAATAAATCTTAATTCTGTACATATTTTTATGTCTTTACCTTTCCTATTTACTTCACGTGACATCATTTTTGAAAAAGAAATATATATTTCCTCATTATTTGGGATTAATTTTATTTTTTCATTATCATTCCCAAATTCTTTTATAAATAGATGGGCATCATAACCTGAAAGATTATGAAAAACAATTGGAATAAAACATGGATTTTGGTAATTAAGATTACATATAGAATATTAAATCATATTTATTTTTTTATTTTTTGTTTCTTCATTAAGTTTATCTTCAAATGATTTAATACAATACTTCTCAGCATTACATTTTTTATAATATTCAATAGTGTCTTTACTTATTTTAATTTTTTTCTCTAAAACTGGAGGTAATTCATCTAAACATCTTTCACAAATATGACATTTATCAGATTTATTATAATTATTTAATTGTTCTGCATTCAATGTTTCCATAGGAACTATTTTATCATATAATTCAGAAATAAGTATTTCTTCATCTTTCATACAATCATAAAATACTTGAGCTACGTTTGGACCAGAATATTCTACAGGAGGTTTATAATAAGCATTACTATATTTAATATAATAACAAAAATTATTAGGTATATGTTTCTGATAACATTTTGTAAAAGACTCTGTATCATTTGATTGACAAGTATATATTGGTTGAAGTGTACATTCAAAGTCAGCATAAATCACAAAAGGGACTCTTAAGGAATGATTATAATTTTTAAATTCTAAAGTTTTGTCATAAGGTTCTGGTAGAACTATTTTAGCAGCTTTATTATTAGCACAATAATGTTTATGATCATTTAATTTATTTTCTGTATCAAAACTATTTAAGCACATTTTGCACAAAAATCTTTTATGACCATCTTTTGTAACTTGACTTCCTACTAGTTTCCATAAATCTTTAATCCAACAATAATGTCCTTTATTCATATTATTATCCTCATCATCAGTATCCTTATCATCCACTGTTAAATATAATAAATCTATATGATTAGTTTTTTCGATTTTACTTACTTGTAAAGGTACAATTACATTTTTATCTAAACAATAAATATTAATAGAAATATCTTTTGTTCTTTTAACAAATTTCTGAACGTCTGTGGTTTTTACCGGAAATTCAATATCTTTAAATTCTTTATCAAATTCATTTTTAAAAGGAATATATTTAGTTACTCTTTGTCCATCTTTTTCAACATTGTGTAAAGCAGAGAGTATTGCCCAAAGAAAACATTTATCATCTTTATTTTTAACATTTATAATAGCATGTTTATCTCCAATGTGTTTAGGTAATGGAATATATGAAGAACCCTTAAAAGGAACATATTTATTTATATTTATTCCCAAACTTAAAATTTGATGAAGTCTCCATTGTGAATTTTTCATTACAAAATCTTCTATTTCACTTACAATTTTAATTTTTGCATTTGTATACAATTCATTTAAGTTAGAATTTTGTGTTAAAATTTCATTTTGTGTCTTAAAATTACATTCTTTATATTCCATATTTTCTTCATTAGTACCTCTCTTATATATAGCAAGAAACATAATATTAATTTTTAAATTTCTCTTCTTTAATTCGTGTTTAACTCGTCCTATTACTGGATTATCTAAACGATTTAAAAACATTTGTACATCTTTAATACCCATATTATTTTTAATAATATAAGTTTTTAATCTACTTTGAAATGCTGTTTCTTCATTTTTTAAAAAAGGTCGAATAGTGTTGTTTTTTTCAAAAATTTCTTCACTAAAATTGAAAACTCTATGTGGTTTGGGTATTGTCTCTCTTGATATTCTTGGTCTTATACCATTGTTTTGATGTCGAATAGATTGCACATGTTTAGACCAACTTTTGTATTTAACTGTTAAATTACAAATATCACAAGTTTTATCTGCAGGTCTTTGTATTCTATCTTGTCTTGTTCTTACATTTGTTGTTGTTGTACCTCTGTATGTTCGTCTAAATCGAGGTATAATTGTTTGATCTGGATCATTGTTTTGATGACGAATAGATTTCAAATGTCTAGACCAATTTTTGTAACTAACTGTTAAGTTACATTTATCACAAGTTTTGTTATCCATTTGATTATTGTTAACATTTCTTTTAAAATTGATTTCAATCTTTTTATTTTCCATTCTTTATTATATAGAATATTATTTTTTTTTACATTCAATTTTTTAATAAAAATAATTTTTATTAAAAATTCTATTTAAATAATATTAAGACCCCATACTAACTTCACACATTTTAATATTTCCTAAATCTTGAACAATCTTAATATTGTCTAGATAATAGTGATTATAATCACCTGTTGCAATAATTTGATCATTGGCTATATGACAAAGTTCTAACCAAGTTGGTGAATGTAATAGTTTAGAAATATAAGGATTTCCATCTCCTTGATTAATAATAAAAATATTTCCTTCAATCGGAATTTCATTTAGATTATATCTAACATTCTCAGAATTTTCAAAATATTCTAAAGCACAAAATTTCACATAACATTTATTTTTTTTTATACTTTTTTTTATATCATTTTGCATTAATTTCGAAAAATTAAAATTTTTAGCCTATATTGATTAATTGGTATACCCTTGTATTTTTTATTAAGTCTACAAGGTAAAATTGTTTGATCTATATCATTTTTTTGATGACGAATAGTTTTCAAATGAGCAGACCAACTTTTGGAACCAATTGTTAAATTACATTTATCACAAGTTTTAGCAGGATATATTTTTTTATTTAATACATCCATTTTATTATTAATATCAATTTCTTTAATTAAAGATTCAATTTTATTTAATCCATCCATTCTTTATTATTATTTTTACATTCATTTTTTAATAAAAATAATTTTTATTTAAAAATCTATTTAAATAATATTAAAGATTTTAGATTATAGTGAAAATAAAAATACATTGAAAGATTTTATAAAAATAATATTTCAACCCACCCAACCCTTATATCCTAGTGTTAATAACAATAAAAACAAAGAAATATTTATTTTAGAAGGAGGTTTATATAGATATCACTTCCTTTAACTTAGGTCATATTATTTAAATATTGTTTTTTGTAACTCTTGGTTATAAAAACTCCCTATAATCTCTTCATTGTTTAAATCTATAATTTTATAGGTAATAGGATTTGTGTTTAAAATTTCATTAACTATAAATATTTCTTTTGTCCAATTATTAATAAATTTATTACCAAATGTTTTTTTAGAAGCTGCTATTCTTACTCTATCACCTACACTAATTTAATTTTTGGTTTAGGTTTGTTTTTTGTAGAAAATAATTTGTGAAAAACAACATCTTCGTTAGATTTATTTACTTCACAAGGTCTCATACCAATAGATCGATGTATGTCTTTGAAATTATATTCATATATTAAACTTTGTAAAATTTTAATCCATTTTTTTGAATTTGTAACTTCAAATTGTAATCTCATTTTATTGTTTAATGTCCTATTAAATCTTTCAATAATTGATGATTTTTCTTCATTTTGGGTGTGATACATTTTAATTCCATATTCGTGCAAAACTTTTTTAAAATGTTTATTTTCAAATTCCAAACCTTTATCTGTGTGAAGTAAATTTGGTGCTTGATGATTTTGTGATATAGCTTGTTTTATTATTTTTTGAAATGCTTCTGAAACATTAATTCCATCTTTCTTTTTGAGTTCTAAGGCCCAAGAAAATTTTGAAAATGTATCTATAACAGTTAATATATAAGAATAACCCTCATTTTCATCAGAATAATTTCTCATTATAACTAAATCAGCAGCCCATGTATCATCAATACCTTTAGTAAAAATTCTTCGTTTAGGAAATTTTTTTCTAACTGGTTTATGAAGTTCTTTAGCTAATATCATTTTATCTGTATCATTTAATTTTTTATTGGAAATATTATACCATTCTGTTCGCCGGCGACTTCAGGCAGATATTGCCCGTGATCCGGAGAGGGACGAGAGCCGAGATCGTCATGTCGTCGATCAAGAACAACCATCTTTGGAACGTCATGGAGCGCTTCGATCTGGTCCAGAACATGCGCGCGGGCAACGACGCGGACTTTGCGTCTTGGTTGCTTCAGCTCGGCAACGGCCAACTGCCCGCGGTTGACGGCGTTCCGGACACGGTGGAAATCCCGCAGGAAATGGTATGCGACGTCGCCGATTTACGCTATGTCCTAACTGAATCCGTGCGTTGCGTTTATACGTTCGCCCGCAACGCAACGCACGCAATGCAACATATTGTTGGCAAAATTGACGTCGATGAATTCTTACGTGCAACGTGCAGGAGGTTGTGACTTGTGAAGTTGTAGGCAGTTGTACATTTTATTTTCTGTTGTTAACATGTCGTTAACCACCGAACAACGTAAAATTGTACTATCCGAAAGTTTGGCGGTTAAACTTTTTATTTTGAAAAAAAAACGCAAACGTAATCCGCTGCATCAAATTTATAAAGATAGGTTTGATTTTGGCGAATTTCATCATTTGTATTCAGAGCTTCGAGCTGATGATAATTTATTCTGTTCTTACACACGAATGAGTAGAAGTACTTTCGACTACATAAAAGAGGAAATTGAAAATGAATGTTACCATAAAACAACCAATTTTAAAATACCAATTTCTGTGGAAGAGAGACTGATTATTACTTTAAGGTAAGCATATTAGTTTAATAAATAACAAATCAAAATGATTAATAGTTTTGATATTATATTAACAATAACATAATATATTAAAATATAAAACTAATTTAATTAAACTAAACTAGATTCCTGTATAGCAGTATTATATTAGCATTATACTAATTAAATAAAAAATAAAAACTTTTAACTTTTAAAATAATAAAATATAAAAAATAACTAAATAGCAGTATTAAATTAATATTGTAATGATTAAATAAAAAATAAAAACTTTTAACTTTTGAAATAAGAAATTATAAAAATACATTTTAATTTTGAATACTAGAATGTGTGTCGTCTGGATACTGGAAATTTGGTGGTATGGAAGTGTATGTTGGATGTACGGTAGAGGCTGATGGAATAATGTAATTTTGGTTATGTGAATTTGTTGAGCCGAAGTATTGCTGTGGTGGTACACTTTCACGTATCAAAATATTTTGGATCTCGTTTCTCACTCGTAATTTTTGGATGGGGCTCATTTTTTTAAAATACGGAAGAATGGATTTAAAAAAATGCATATCTTCGTCATCTGGAGCGGGTGATTCAGTTAATGCAGCTAGTTTTCGAGTTTCAAGATCAATCAGTTGTTGTTCAAAAGTATTGCCCGTTTCTTGTTTTTTTGATCTCTTATTTTTTTTTTTAGTTGTCGTAAATGAAGTTGATGGGGGTGATGAAATATTATAATCATTTGTAGAAATATTTACTTCTAATGACTGGTCAATGTCCTCGAGTTCGTCTTGTTCCTCATTGATGTCTTCTTCAACCTCATCTACGTCTACATCGGATATATTTCCGTCACTTATTCTTGGTGTGACTGTGTCCTTCAAAAATAACATCGCACGAAAATAGCTCCATCTGCCTTGATATAGCGCAGCATATTCTTGACTGCTTCCAGAACGACTGGAAGGGATTTTTTTTAATTCTTTTAAAAATTGATCTCGAAGACTTCTCCACTTTTTTTTAACATCGTCTTCTGTGGAAATTAAATTTAAATATTGTGCAAAATGTGTAAACCAATAATTATTAGAATTAAAATTAATATACCAATATAAGTACCAATTATTTGAACAACATTGAATCTTATCATATATATATTATCATAAAATTTAATGCAAGGCTCTTGATATAATGTTACAATAGCAGTTGAAAAATATTAAAAATACATAGGCACAATTTATTTTTATAAGCATTTAAAGTTCGAATTTTGACAAAATTTATCAAATTTAATATTTAATAATTATATTGTAGTTAAAAATTGATAAAATGTTTCATATTATCAACTTTTATAGCTAAGGGTTGAAAATTTAAAACAAGGTTCCACTTAAATAGATTATATTTTTTTCTATAAGCGTAGAAAGTTAAAATTTTTACGAAATATGATAAAATCAAGAAGATAGAAGTTATTTTAAAATATTGAAAAAATTCGTCAAAATCATGAATATTTGCAAATAATTTTGTAGTTCAAAATGTATACATTTTTTTTATTCATAGAATTGAAAATGTAATACAAGGTAGTCCATAAGTCTTGCTTTCAATAGTTATAAAAATTGAGGCTTATATTATATATAATAATGTACATAATATAAAACTTAAATAAATAAATAAAATAAATAAATATATAAAAATATAAAAATAAAATATAAATACTGTGACACACCACTAGTTAAATTTTTAAAATTTTAAATACAATATATATTCCAAATTTATTTTCCACAGATACCTTGCTACTGGTTTAGCTTTTAGGCAAATTGCTTTAACCTTTAGAATTTCAAAAACAGCAGTGTCTTCAATTGTTATCGAAATTTGTAAAGCAATTTGGAAAATACTGAAAGAAAAACATATGCCCACACCTACGATAGCTGATTTCGAAAAAATTGCACAAGAATTTTATGAAAATTGGAATTTTCCAAATTGTGTTGGGAGTATAGACGGCAAACATATTCGGATAAAATGTCCAAAAAAATCCGGTAGTATGTTCTTCAATTATAAACAGTTTTTCTCTATTGTTTTGATGGCTGTTGCAGACGCAAATTATAAATTTATTATGATTGACGTCGGATCTTATGGAAAAGATAGCGATGGAGGTATATTATCAAATTCAAATATTTTAAAACGTCTTGAAAATAAAACTTTGAAGCTACCTTATCCTAAAAAACTACCAAATTCGAACTTAATTGGTCCATATACTTTCATTGCTGATGAAGCATTTCCTTTGAGAACATACATGATGCGACCATACCCAAGAAGGTTACTAAATGATGAAAATAAAAGTTACTTCAATTATAGACTATCCAGAGCACGAATGACAATAGAATGTGCTTTCGGTATAGCAGCAGCAAAATTTAGAATTTTGCAGAAGTCTATAGAGACAAAGGTAGATAATGCTGATCACATTGTAAAAGCAATATGTATGCTGCACAATGTGATTATAGATTTGGAAAAAAAAGGAGTAGCAAATTATATGGACTCAGATATATCAAACCAAATTAATAATTTATCCAGCGATTTAGCAGTAAGTGTGAGAAATAACAAAACATCCAGAGCAGCAGAGAATATAAGAAGTAATTTAAGCATTTTTTTTTCCAATAATAAATTGTGATAAATAAATAAATAACCGATAAATATTGTTTTATATTATAAAAATGATTTTTTCGCTAAATTTTAAGGAAAGTATTGCTCATAGGAACTAATTATATTATTACTATTATTATTTAATTTTTTTATTATTCCATAAAATATTAATATATCATATAATAAATTATAATATTGTAATAATAATATATTTCTTTAGCTAGTTTATTCATTATTCAGTATATAATTTTAAATTAATTTACTTGACATTCCAAGTTCTTTGGATACAGAGTCCCAATGCCTGTCTGCCACTACCCGATCTTTAAATTTTGGATCCCATTTATTCCAAAGTACCGATCTTTTTTGTACTTCGGAAATAAGAAGATCCATTTTTGAAATACAAAAATTTAATCTAAATAATCGACAGTATGTCTTGACCGCACAACGTTGCGTTGGAAAATAGAACATGCTCTATTTTGTGCGGTGCGTTAAAACGCATCGCACGCATGTTACGGCCAGTTAGGACATGTCCGTACTTTGTAGCAGTTGGTTTTATTTGCGTGCACGCATCGCCCGCAACACACGCAGCGCACGGAACGCACGGATTCAGTTAGGACATAGCGTAACAGTGAAATTCTATGACCCAATCTTAAATTATTATTATTGTCAATACCTTTTAATACGTCAAGAACGATTTTAAATGTTCAAATCACGAGTCAAGTGTATGTACCGCTATATATAGGTAAGCAATAATAATTGCCAATGAAAATTAAATAGTAACAGTGCTTAAAATATGCGATACGTCGTTATTTCATAATACTATTATAATAATATTATATGGGCTGGTCTCATTATTGCATACAAAAAAAGAAAACTTACTATGCTGATAGACATTTTTATAGTACCTACGTATATTGTATTATAACGCGTGGTGGATATAATTCCGATTGTCATAGTCAAAGGCTTTATTAGTAAAAAGCTGATAATTTGTTTTACAAAATGTTTTAAAACGTGTAGGTACCTATACAGGCAGGTAGGTACTTGTTTTAACTTTTACTGAGTTTTGGTTTTTAGCTAATGCAGGAATTAAACTATAATTATAATAACGTTATGATGTTGTAGTCGAATTTATTCAATAATGAAAGGGAAGTTATGAGACTTGTGGGTAATGACAATATTAATAGAGCACAAAATGTCTATGTAGGTAGCATAAAATATAAATTAAATATTAATTTGAATAGCCTAAAAAGCACCGAGGCACTTAATGTTATTCGCTCGAAAATAATATGAAAAAAAAGAGAAAATCAGGAAAACCGTAATTTAGATTCTGATTAATTTGACATCCTCGTTTCCTGGGTGAATAAACAATATTATTATAAACATGCGCCACCCGAATCGCAGCAATCACCACTATGACTTTCGATGAAATATACAATATAATATAATATAATAATATTATCTACAAACCACTCGTAAAACGTACCCATAATGGCAATCTAATTATTGACAAACAAGTAATAACAATGATATTATAATATGCATAATGATATTATTGTAAAAATATAATTTTAGATTCTGAGCGGAGCGAGGAAGCTAGTGGTTTTTGCAATTGTGTTATTTTTCTTTTTTTTATCCTGTATACAAATTTTTTACCAGAAGAAGTGCTTCGATTTCAACATAGAGTACCTTATCTTTTAGAAAATTGGATCAAGATGGTACTTTAGAGAGGTCATTTTTCAATTTTCTCAATAGTTACGTAATGCCACGGGAAAAACTACAGACAAATTACGAAAAACCGCTGAAAATTGGATTTTAATTTCTAACTCTTTTTTTATCACCATAGAAACGAATAAAAAATTATAATATTAATTCAACTCACAGGATATAATAAATAGTTACAAAATAAAATATCCAGACTGACAAACCGTCTCCGCTCATCATCGTTTTTCTTGTACAATGATTATATTATGTCATTGAATTCAAGTTTAATCCAATCCATTGACCCACTATTGTAACCTACTGCACAGCAGAGTGACATCCACTTACCCTCATTTTACCCTCGGGATTCGTCGCTTTTGGTTTGTTTTTTTAATGGACTGGAAATCACTAATTCGACAACTCCCGCAGTAGTTCGTGTATTATATATTATTATGGGTACCTTTACCCCGCTCATCATATCTGTGTCTTAATTTGAGATGTGCCCGCATTGTACCGACCTTTGCCGACACATTTAAAGCCCAAACTTGACTAAATAGACGAATCGTTTTGTCCATTTTTGCGAATTCCCGCAGGTTGGTGCAAAGGTATTACAGCACAAAGCTTTCGGCCGCCAAATGTATTATTAATGGAATTTCGAGGATCCCGCCCCCGCGACGCCTTACTTTTGATACAACGAAAAACAAGACAATGGATAATCGTTTTGCAAGGTTTTTTCCCCCCTCAAAATTGTTCTTCTTTCAAAAGCGGATTAATTAATTTCAGCACACACAATGAACCCAGTGATTTGTAATCGTTTTCGCGCCAAACAGCCGTTAATTTGACGTTTTGACGATTTGCAGCATTTATCTCAATGTGACCATTATTCTGTTTATTGTTTATTGATAATTATAATATCATACGTATAGGTAAGAAGAATAAGTGAAACTGGTGATAAATATTACAACAATTTATATTGCAAATACTCACAATAAATCAATAATTTTTCACAATTTGTTCGACGTCATTTCATTTCACCGGCAATCTATTATTGCATCATAAATTTGTGTTGGATAACATCCTGATAGAAAATTATACTATGGTTATACCCACTATCATAAAATATGAATATCGATGTGATTAAACATTGCCCTGACCATTGCAGACATTGCAAACATATTATTATCGTTGACACAGAGTCGAAAAAGGAGAGCGAGAAATCCATTGAACGTATAAGACACTCGTCGTTGTTATTTCAGAAAATACAAACGTTTTTGAAAATATTTCTTTTGCATAACTTAGAGTTGCTATAGTTTTTGGAAAACAAACGTATTTTTTGTTGTTATTATTTTTTAAATTCTTTACATTTTGAATGACAACATACATTTTTAATTTAATATTATTCCGGGAGCTCAGAGCAGAATATTATATTCGGAGTATTTCTATCTATAAGAATCAAATTTTGGACGAGTAGTTTATTAGTTATAACTTTATCATAAGTATTAAAAGTTTAAACGGGTGGAGTAGTGGACCAACATTTTGCGGTATACTTTACTATCACTATAACTCATCAAAACTTTCATTACTTATAGCTTATAAATTACTCGTCCAAATTCGGTTTTTATTCATCGAAGTACTTCAAACAATATTCTCCTTTGGAATAATGAATTAAATATTAATTAAAAAACTGAAAAAAATAAAATATTATAAGGAACGATAAAAATATATATTTTGTTAGAACAATTTGTGTTTTTAACGACTCGATAAAATGTAAAAAAAATATTTTTAATAACGTTTACAGTTTTTTAAATACCCAATTAATGCCTTACGTCAAGTGGATCACTCGTTATAATATGTCACTACATATATATAAAGGTTTTTAATCCCAACAACGCTGCAAAACCCGTTAACAATATAATTATGTATGCCGGTTTACAATACACAGATTTTAAGTGGTTTTATTATTATTATAATTATATTATATAGTATAAGATATTATTATATCACTTCGGGCCGTCGTCATAATATTTCAAAGTCCGTTTCCCGGAGAATCTATATTAGCTGCAACTAAGTAGCGGTAGGTCCGGTATATTATGGTAATGTGGTATGGGCGAGTCGAGGGTAACGTCAAGTCGTTTAAAATATCTATAAAGTTGAGCATATTATAATGTAAGCCCAGTAGTTTTCTCTTATGCAGCAACACCCTCGCCGTCCCTGATAGGCCTCTATACTGCTATCGCATTAAAGGTTATTGGAACATTTGTGAGCACAATATAATATATTATATGGCGCATTAAACGCGTAAGAGGGTCGAAACAGTCGGCCCGCCTAAAACTCGAGGTAAGTCTCCGAGGGGGTTGGTTCTTTTTCTTAATTTCTTATCGATCAACCAGACTACCGCGGGGCATAACGATAACCATTAAGCGATGGACCGCGGTTGATCACGCGTTCACGTTTATGCAGGTACCTCTATTTATATACCGCAGGGTAACCACCGCGATCGAGTCAGAGGAAAGGGACCCGAACCCAACGTCGGACTGCACAAGACATAATAATAATAATATATTATATTAACCGCCATGACATTATATCATATTATTGTTATTACGGAGCAAATCAAAAGGGTTCCACGCACCGTATCTTATACGTAGGTACGCATAATGTGAGTACGTGCCTCAGGTTCGAAATAAAGTGAAATAGGAGCTGGTCGAGAGGAAGTTAAGCGGCTGGTCGTCTATACGACGTAGATTTGAAAGCAATGATGATGAACCCAAAAGCGGTCCTGAGCTACGGAGGTGGTTCGTGTTTGGGCGAAATTTATAAAAATTGCGACTGGCAATGCTTATGGCATAATGATGCGTTTGAAAGAAATAATTTTAAGTTACTGTAACGTGACGTCGGCACAGGGAATCTTAATATTATGAAGTAACGGGTTTGGGCGATATTGAAATTCTTTTCACTCGACTTGACCGAGTAAGAGTTAAGCTTAAACGCCATCGCGACAGTCCTGCAACAATTTTTTTTGACTTTACAACTAATTGGCTTTCTAATTAATTGTATAACCAAACTAATTTAAATACAGAACCGAACCGTTGTAATGACTTAGCTTTTCGAGGTAATTCAATAAAAAAATTCGCCTATAACCTGCAGTGGTTTTAGATAACAATAACCCACTAAACATTTATCGGTTTGATAATTTAGTTTAAATACAATAATTTAATTTAACATTCCGCAATCGCCTGATAATACCTATTCAGCCATAAAGTGTGCATTAGGTGAGACGAATGTTAGGGAAAAAATTTGAAATCGTACGATGGTCATGTTGGATCCAGGTCGTAGTAATTATTTTTCTTAACACAAGTTCATATTTTTTTCCAATCAAATTTCATCTTCAAAGTTGAATATATTATAATATTTTGTTAACCGCTGAGCAAATCAACTACAGTATTATTGTACCTACTTTACGTTTTCGACTGTACTATCGAGTCGAAGGCCGATCGCACATCAAAAGAGCAAAACTGTGTTGGTCATGGTTAGTCATAATATATTTGTTTTAGTCAACTTAAAACAATTTGTTTTCTATGTGCGCATTTCAGTCAGTCGAGACTTTTTCGTGTCCACTTTGAATTATTATTATTATTGTGCCTACGTGTGTGGTATTGTGGTAAGTAAATAATATTATTAACATGCTCACCGTGGTCGGATCGGTACCTCCTCCAAAGGGCCGGTGGCGTCGATGCGTCGGCGCGGGGCGACCGGCTGACGATGGTTCCACTGGGGCGGCTGCGGCCGCGGCCTGTGCCCCATCAACAGGTAGTCGTGTCGGCGTCGCCGGGCCGCGGGCCGCACGGAATAGCCGACGCGGAGCGGCACGTCGAACGAGTCGACCCGGCCACCGGCGGCCGCTCTGCCGACCCAACGGCCGTCGGCGCCGGCCGCGGGCTTCCAGGTGTTCATGTCCAACGGTATCACCTCGGCCTTGTAATAGCCACGCCCGGACGACGCGGTTTTCGAGGCGCCGTCGTCGTACGGCCGGTTCATCTGGTCTGCGGTTACCGGTTCGTACCGCATCGGTCCGTACTGAGTGATGATCACGTGCTCGTCGTCCGGGTAACCGAACGCGCCGCGGCCGTCCGGTGGTTTGCCAGTGGCGGCGGTGGCGAGCGCCGAGAACGACAATAGTAACGCGACCGTCGTTGGGTCCATGGTCGAGCCGAATGACGACGACGACGACGACGACGATGATGATGATGATGTGCGTACCGCTGCGGCGACGGTCGACGACACAATGAACGCGCGCAGACAATGGACCGCGGCGGTGACACTGCTCCTGCTCCTGTTCCTGCCGCGACCGCGACGATACCGACACCGCCTCCGCCGCCGAACGGTAATATTATTATACTATGTCGTTGTCGTATTCAGTTATCGTTGGTGTTTCCGTTGTTGGTGTTTGTTGTTGTTGTGTGTTGTCGCCGCGAGTCGGCGGACGTTCAAGTCTCGGTCACGGTCGGGTGCGACCTGCAGCGTACCTACATAATATTATAGTCATAATAAAATAAATTATGGTTAAACTGTGTTCGGTCGATTTTCAATAATCACGCGCAGCCATACGTATATGGTATATAATGGTATGCTATAGAGGGCAAGGGTTCTTAACCTTTTCTGGTAGGTGTACATAGACCACTAGGCACTAAGATACCAAGTAGGTACGAACTCCAACTCTCTACCCGACAAAAAAATCCAGACTCGTGCAGATAGACACTATAACACAAATACACAATACAGTGGCGATTGTAATCAAAAATCGCATCGCCTTGGATACAGGTTGTTGCAGATGTCGATGTCACCGAATGGGATTACATTTTTGATAAAAAAAATCTTGACGAGTCATTTATTTTGATTTTATAAATAAATTATATTATCATCGGTTGAGTTCACGAGAAAATTATAATATACGTATCCATGTTTCTGCTTTTGAATATAGGTAAAATCTGTGATCTACAAATTAATTACAATATTATATACACTGAGTCATCGAATAAGTGTTTCCAATTATCGAAAGAATTCTCTGGCTGGGAATATTCTTGACACCGAGTTGTAAACGATTTTTTTTTTTTTGGTTTGTGAGATATGTGTTTTTTATGCATCCGATTTATAATACGGAAATGAGATGTAGGTACGAGCGTGGCCCGGCCAGGGGAAGTTTTGGGTGTTGTATCGCTCACCCCTCATTGATTATTTTTTGTTTATGTTCTATGTCAGTAGGTAGTTCCCAAAGTTTCCATCCTTTCGGCATCCTTTTCGAAAGAAAGTTTTCCCGTCTTTCCCTTAGTCAAAGTACGACTTTAAATTATTTTTAAGCTAGATAATATTCCACGACACTTTGGGGGCCACTGTTTTTTTTTTTATAACTATAATAATATAAAAAAATATATTATGTTTTGTGGTATAATAATAGAGGCAGGACGACTAACTCGAAAACCACCCCCCCTTTCCCACCCAAATTATTTTTAAATATTCTGGTTGTACCAGATGGAACTGGTGCTATAGTGATTTCATTTCTACACCATTCGAAATCAAACGTACACTAATTTTTTAAGAATACGTATAAAAGTTATACTTTGAACTCGATTGAAAATTAAAGAACAAACATAGCTATTATTATTACTTTTACTTTACTAATTATTACGTTTTTGTTATTTTTTGCACCCGAATAAAGTCCAAAGACAACGTATGAATTATTTCGTTCTCTATATAACATACATACAGCATAATAATATACGGTGTGATAAATGTTATACGATTACTACTATGTGTATATAATAATATTATGGTGCCTATAAAAAGTCTTTGCTTCTTTACAATGTAAATAATAATGCTTTTTAGCCATCTACGACAATATCAAAGCACGTCACGACGTAATAGGTACACGACGCGTCTTTCGAGCAAAAGTATATACCTACAATAAATATGCAATTTTATGAAAACTCATAATATCTATAATAGCCGAAGAAGAGGTAAAAGATAAAATCACCTACCCACCGTTTCTTCTCAGTTTTCGAGAATATTCTCCACGAAGACTGTCGTCATCACCACGTCGTCGTACAGGTACACTTTACACCGATATTATATTATCATAATACACAGTAAGTATACCTCTATTTGTGCGTAATCGTCTCGACCGACTTAGGTCCGTTTGACTGTAATATTATATTATTATTTTGAGCTCGTCGTGACGTAATCGTCGACGTGCAACAGAGTGCACTGCTGCAGATGAGCGCATTCGCCGCCTCCGCATTCCGTCTCGGTTTTTTTTTACTATTATTATTATTATTACTATTATTATCGTGCACGCCAGTTGTTCAACCCGTTTGCAACACGGCGTCTTATAACAATAATACCTATATACTCGAGTGTCATATACATATAGGTACACTTGGGAGAGAAACGACCGCTGCACCGACGATGGATGCCCACTGGCCTGCACTGCCACACGACCTACACCAGGGTTACGACAACTTGTTGCTGTACCTATTATAGTTCGTACGCGGTTGACGACACACACAACTCAGTGCACATCACGAATTCACTGAAACAATTCGACAGAGAAAATATTACGATGAATTATCACGATGCGAAAACGTTACGATATCGTCTGGATGCAGGTGATTCAGCTGCATTTCATAAATCAATTTTTAAATCCGTCTCTCTCCCCGAAAGGCGAAAGTGTCGTCGAGGCAGGATGACTTTTTATAATACGCGTTCTGGTGCGTTCAAGCCTGCAGCTGCAGCACCATGTGATATTTTAATAATATGTCTGCAGTTGTGTACAACACTTGGATTGTATAAATCTCTTTTAAAAGAAATTCACTACGGCGGCGGACAAGACATGTATGTGCGTACCGCAGGTCTATTTTAATCGCATAAGCGTAATATTGTAATTGTTACATATTATTATACCGTTTTGTTTGATCACTTTTATTTGCCAAATGTATGCACGACATCGTGTCGTAAAAGAGTCTCTTTATTCTTTAACAAAAACATTTTTACTCCGGTCTGGCGGTCTGTATTTCCCCCCCCCCCCCCCCGAAACGTACCTCATCTACTGCAGTGACTATATACAAAGTGGGCCGGTATACTTTACAAATGCAAAAGGCTGCGAGCGAGTAAACTAAACGAATTAAACATTAAAAATTAAGTTAAAACTTTAAATTATTGTAATCCGGCTACATATTATGTAGGTACGTAACGCGTTACTTATATTTTGTGTTATGACTGCAGGCATAATCAACTCATGGCTAATGAGTTTCTTTTTATGTTGAACAAAAAATTGTTAACTGGATTTGCATAGGTATACCTACTTCATTATACATTACAATTACAAATACCAGCTATAGTAGGTACATCGTACATGTACCAGTTATGGCCTTCTGGGGCAATGCAGTATATTTTGTTTTCATGTGTGCATATTATATTATGTAAGTACCAACGTATCATAAAAACGATAATAATAGTGTGTTATTATTATACCTACGGTAAATATAGACAAATAAATTCTGCCCCCCCACCCCCAGCTTCCCAGTCGACCATTAGTTATTTAGCCTTATCCAGTATACTGAAGCAAAGAACACCACAAAAGGCCCTTTTCTGATTTTGGAAATTGACGAAATTATTGAATTATATTTACAAATATATTTTAATATAAAAGTATTATGAATGAATATAATCGTTGATTATAAGTACTTTAAATTATATACAAGTATTTATAGTCAATGAAAGTATAATAGGTATATGCACAATGTTTTCACACGTATCTATCACCTACAATATTGCTTAATACCTATTTTCAATTTTATGTTTAGTCAACTATACAAAAATTCTTTTAGAAAATAATAATATATTGTTTGTCGAATAATGTCTATAGGTACTTATACTGTTACAATTTGCTCTAGTATAGCTACAAGTGGCAAATATTTGCCTAATATCTATACTAGCCAGAGTGGAATCAGCATAATAGATATGTAGGTAATTGATATCTATATAGGTATAAGTACTCACGACATTCGTAACAGTTTCGGTCAATTGGGATATACAAGTGCACTTTCGATTTCGATTTTCAAGTCGTACCTACTAATCAATATACAGAGTGAACCACAATATTCACGCATCGTCCATTTTTATTAAAATTTATTAACACATTGGTAGACAGTAAAATATTTTACAAGAAATAGATATACTCGCAGTGTGAATAACTTGAAAACTACTATGCATAATACATAACAAAATTGATTTTGGCTATAGCAAACTATTTCACTTTCAGTGAATATCAACGATCGACCTTGGAAAAAATTAACGATGAAAAATAATTGTATTTATTAATGAAATAAAGAAAAACAGGGTAGCACACAAAACCCAATCGTAAAAACTAAGAAAATGTAGTCAATATTTTGACTTGACCATGACATGTTTTAAATTAATATAAAATCTATTGAAACCATATTACCAGTATTTTAACGATATTATTTAGATTATGTGTACATATTATGTATCTATATAAATTAATATATACATAATTACCTATATGTATTAAATTAGTTCTAAAAATAATATTTTTATAAGCACATAAATACCTATATGCTATGCTATTTTTTTACTGCTTTATATGTAGCTTGCTGTTATCAATATGGATACTATTTTGAGTAAGATAATGAGTATGGGTAAGTGGTAAGTACAATATGACGTAATTAATGACGTTTTAATAACTATCGAATCATTGAAATAGTAGATAGGCACTCAAATAATAATAATCGGTGTGCTCGTCTCATTAGTCACCCAATATTTTAGTTTAACACGTTTTAAACAACTTATAGTGACAGCTAATTCAAGCTGGACGAAACAACTTCAATAAAATATTAATCATTTTCAACAGAATTTTTAAAAGCAATATTGATAGATAATTTAGCCTGTTTGACGTTAGACTTAAGAGATTGATGTACAAATAATCTTCAAAAATTTAATTTTCAACAATAATTGTTCTCAATACAGTGCGTGATATCGATATGATGCACGAGTGATAGACCAAAACAATAAATGAAGACCTAGTGCGTACACTATATATCTATGACGGACACTTCAAAATAAACACATATTACTGATAAAGTTATATAAATTAATGTTCCTATTCAAAATTGAATTTTCAACAGTTAACTTAGAATATAAATTCTAAAAACACTTATTGCGAAATTATTATTTTTACTATAATATTTTGTGGGTACGTGCAAATTGTATCATGCAGACATACTTGTTAAATATTTAAATATTAATATTTAAATAATAGTATTTAAATACTTATTATTATATTTTGTATTTAAAAATGTTAAATACAAAATTTTCAAACAAGATATTTACTATTTAGTTAGGATAACTGTATAGTGTTTATGTTATAAATCACATAAATTAAACATAACTACATTCACAATTTTTTATAAATAAAGGAATTCTGTATAAGCCTACAATTATTTTCTATATTCAATACACTTTATTAAATTAAACAAATAATTAGTTTTAAGAATTAAGGATCAGAAAATAATAAAGCTTAAAAAAATGTATTTAAAAATATTTGAAATACTTTTTTCAATATATTTGTATTTGTATTTAAATATTTATTAGCAAAGGTATTTAAAAAAATATTTTAATACTTTTTAATTGAAGTATTTAAATACCTATTTGAAATACTTTTGAAAAGTATTTTTAACAACATTGCATGCAGATAAATGAATAAGTATGTATAGTGTTCACTTAAGTATATAAATCAATAGTGTGCTGTGTATAAGTTACCTAGTCTTAAAAGTTAAACTAAATTAACACTAAGTATTTGTATTATTTTACTACGATGATAAACGATAATAAAATTAATTCCTGTAGAATTTGACGAATTAAAATTCCACGTATGCTAAACGGTAGGTACTAAAAATATTTAATGCTAATAAGGTACCAGAACGCAATAAAGATTAGTGCACATATTTCCAAATTTTAAGTGCTCTTCAGTTAAATTTAAAATCATAAATATTTATGTACAATGTAGTACCTACATATTGTAAATATAATATATAGATACCTAATACACAAAAACTATGCACGCTCACTAATAAAATTATCTAACGTAATGGCATTAAATTACTAAAATTAAAATAACTCGTGGCATTAAATACTACATTATGAAGCACTCGACATTTTACATTTATAATCATCATAATATATAAAACGTTAAAATGATTTATTTTTAGAGAAATCCCTAAGTCTCTTTGGAACAACGCGATGTTGACTTATATCAAATAATAATATTATATAAAGCTATCCCAAGTATGTCCTTGAAAATTTCGCACTCGCATAGCTCGATAGGTATATGGTTTTTGATTTCACTCACTGCTATAACATGTGCTGATCATGTTCACTGTTTGTACAACATTTTATTATTCATTCGATTGCACGAAACCGAAATAAACAAATTACAACAAAACCGAGAGCTTGTGTACACATGACGAAATCGTGGGGCCCGCTATCATCAGTAGTGTAAATAGTGGCGAGACCACAAAACCACTCAATACCTTAAGGTACCATGGGCCACCGGCAGACAATAATGCGCGTCAGAGGTCCGACCAAACGTGTGCGTGTCAAAACTTCGGGAGTTTTCCACTTTTCTAAAAATGATTTTCCACGAACTCGGCGCTGCAGGTGTCACATTAGGTACGCATTCAAATCTGTCCCTTCGAATGATGTAGAGCAACCTCCGAAGTCCGAATTCAATTTCCAAGCTCGTGTGTGATGTCTGTCGACTGTCACTTCCTGTTCTTGGCAGTTGCCGTCAACCGTCCAAGTGCGAAATTATGTGCACGACTGACCTGGCTATCATCAAATAAATATGTATTGCCGAGGATAATTCTGAGAAACCGCTCGCCTACAAACATTTATTAGAAAATACAAATTACCAATACTCAATCAGTGGGTCTCACATTTTTGTTTATTTTTGGGCGTTATCAAAATATTTTTTAAAAACATAAATCATTGTTTTTATAAATTAGATACAAAATAAATAATAATTTCTAGTTGAAACAACATTTTTTTTAAGGAAAAAATATAAATAATAGAAAATTATTATAAAGATTTGAAAACCGTTTTTAAAACAACGCTTATGTTACTTCGATTTTAAAACAGGAAGAAGCTACGTAAGCTGCGTTGTACTATTTATTTAAATGGAAATCTTTACGTTAAATGAAAAAAAAATTTGAAAATATCACTTTTTTTCGAACTTAGGTATTGCCGTCAGACCTGTTGATGGATTTTTAATACAAATTTTACTTTTTTTGAATTTTGTAGTGGAAGGATTTCCGAGCGAACTTCAAAACTGAGCTTGTTAGTTTACGGCACCGTCGAGTAACAATTTTGCAAAAAAAAAATTTGAAAAATGTTTGTTATAACAAGGAAAAGGATTGAAAACAGTTTTTTAATGACAATTATGTTCCTTAGATTTTTAAAAGGAAGGAACTTATTTTGTCGCCTCAATCTGCGTAGTCGTGATACCCGAGATTTAATATAATATATACGGGATTGAGATGGGGACGGGAACGGGAATGCATTCCCATGGGACGTGATCAAGTCTAGTGACGGGGAGGTAATTTTTTTACATACGGGCGAATTATAAAATGTTTTAACAGATGAATAAGAATTTGAAAATATTATCAAATTTACTGAATTATTATTAATGTTTTTATACTTTAACCCGGCAACGACGGGTAATTCAGCGTGTTATATTTTATTGTAACAAGCTGATTGAAAACTTTTGTCTCCTCTCAATACATAGAGGTAAGTTGCGGTAACTACAATTATATTTATAATCTCAATCTAAATGTTGGTTTTGAT